TTGAGCAAAACAGCCGAAAAAATACGACAAATTCAAGAAAGGTTCTTATCGTAAACAATTTTCAAAATTAATTGTCTTTAAATACGACCGAAATATGACAACCTACTTGCATATTTTTCTTCAAAACAGTACATACCATAACACAAAGCTTCAATAAGGCGTCTTCCTCGCTCGCAGATTTCACTTGAAATTGGAAAGAAATTATATAACGAATTTCATGTTCATATCAACAATGACGAACGTTGCAGTGAACACTCGGTTGTTCATGTATTGTTCATTTCTTAAGCTCTAGATCTTGTATTCTCATTGCTACAGTTTCTTCAAAAATCAAAACAGCTTTGAACTTGTTTGATTTTGTTTGAGGCAGTTGTTGAAATTTTGTTGAAAAACAACTAAACATGATTACGTGATTGATATGTTTGTAATATTTCGCCCAATTGCAACGAGGAATGATGACGTGTGCACACGCGTTTATCCAATCAGATTAAGGAAATATAGCGATAGCACACGTCAGCAAATTGGAATTTGGATTTTGGAAATCGGAACTTTTTTAAAAAAAATAAAACAGCGGCTTTTGCATTTTATAATAATCAGAGAATAGATACTATGGACTATAATCTCTCCTATGTGATTTAATATCGCCACCAATGACAATGATTAAATGAGAAAGTGAAGCCGGAAGTGTCCATTTCGTGCGATTTTATATCTCTTTCACATTTTCGATTTGTTTCCCTACAACAGGCTTGTTGAAACTTGTTGTGACAGGACAAAAATTGTTTGTTGTGGACAGGTTTGTCGCAGGTCTGATAACAAGCTTGCTGCAGACTTGACAAAAACAACTCGCGACAGGTCTGTTGGAACAGGTTGTAACAGACCTGTTGATTTCAACAGACTTGCTGCAAATTGTTCTATCAGACCTGTTATCTCTTGTTAGTAACAGGTTTGTAGCGGGTTGTTTCAACAAGTCGCTACGGCCACAGAATAGGAAGTTATACCAGAAGCGTAACTCGAGCAAATATTTGTCCGTGTTTTTACAAGCGATTCGTCATCAATCACGCCATCCTGGCTAGTACAACCGGCACTTTGTACCTACCAAATCCTGATAAAAACTTCCGGCTGTACTAGCCAGGATGGCGTGGCCTGACGTGAGCGAGTTAAAAATTTTCGTGGACGTCAAACAATAAGGGAAACGACTAGAGTTACGCTTCTGGGGCCGGTTGTATCAAAGGCGTTTAACTTAAACGGTGTTTAGCCGCTATCCAGCGTATAAATTTCTTATCCAGCGGATAGTTAAACGGCCGATAAAATTGCGTTGTACGAAGCCCGTTTAGTACCGCGTTTAACTATCCGTAGGATAACCTTTAATTTAACCGGAGAAAACTGGATTTTCTTGAAATTTCCTACCTCTACGTCAGCTGTTGCTAGGCCTTTGTAAACTTTTGAAGTTTTATCTAACTTGTGAATTCCACTAAGCTTTTGCAATAAAGTTTGTTGTTGTTTTTATTTGGAGTTTGCTCGTCCATTCGTTGCTGCAAATCTATATCAAACTTTTCATTTTCACATTGTGCTGAGTTTCTCATTCACTTAAATTCACTTACGGATATTTCTTTAAAGATTTTTGGCTTCTTTATGCGAAGAGTCGAAGGCAATAGCAAAAACTGTGAGTTGTATTTGGCTCTTGTCAGTTGATTCAGTTTTATACTGTTTGAAATTTGTTCCTCGACCTTGCACTTTTGTTCAAAACAATTTTAAGAACATTTTGTCCCAAGTTTTGATTGGCTGATCAAAGCGATTAACGCGAGCGAACAATTTTTTTCGACTTTCGGCGTCTTGTTGTCTATTTTGTATACTTGTTGGCTTTCCAAAGTTATTGTTTGTTTTACAATAGCTAAAATTGGGAGTCTTACTGCTTGTTTTCAAACTATATAATAGAAGAAAAGAAGGAGAAAAGCCAGAGTATATATACTTTAATACTTAACATCTAAACTGGTGTGCGTATTAAAATATAGCAAAGCCACGGAATTACAAGTGAGCAAGTGACCTCAGTGTACTTCAAAGACCAAGCCAGTTAAAAGTGAGTTTTTCATGTTTATTGGATTTAAAAAGATAACTCCTCCACATGATTGTGCATTTTTATAACTATCCCATGCTTTTTCATCCGAAATAATCATTGTTTTATCTTCAAACTCCGAGTTTATCCGCCGTATAGCGATTTAACGGTCTCAACAGACCGTATAAGTTTACACGGTGGATAGGCAAAATTTAACCGGTGGATAGCCCTAAACGGGCTTGATACAACGCGATTTCTCGAGCGTTTAAATTTTATCCGGCGGATAGCGAGTTAAACGGTGGTTAGCGAGTTAAACGCCTTTGATACAACCGGCCCCTGGATAGCGGCTAAACACCGTTTAAGTTAAACGCCTTTGATACAACCGGCCCCAGAGTAATGGCGGCCAACCGGAAGTCGCACCTGTCGGTAGCATCAAAAACTTCAAAGGAGTGAGCCATCTATTCATTTCTTAATCTATGCTCGCGATCTGCGAGTGGAATCATAAGTAGCCCAACAATCCGCACGCCGTGACGTATGATGCAGTAGTATAATATCCTAAGGTTGGCAAGT